CAGCCCCCCCCCCAGGCTCCCAGTGCTACCCAAGCAGCCCCCTGACCTGAGAAGTCATCCCACACCAGAAATTGGAGTACGCAGCCCGGGAATCCAGCATAGGCGCGACCACTGTCTTGTTCTCAGCAATGAGCAGCGTCAGCGTGTCAGGGTTCAGGATTAGGTTGTCTGAGTCCACAAACTACAAAACATCCAACAGGACATCAGTGTGGGCCACCTGAATGACCTGGGCTGGGCCACAGCTCAGAATGATCGGGCAGAGGCAGAGTCCTGGGGGTGTGAACCTGGAATAGCACATGTGGCCCTGGAAGCCACTGGGTGCCTCAAACCACAGCTCTACCCTTAACAAGCCAAGTTACACTCACAAAATGAAACAGGCTACTAAAGAAGGGGCAGGAATGGGCCACATAGCACACAGAAACACAAATGTGTCCCAGACATGATGCTGTTGAGATACCAGAGATGACAGTGGGCATGCCATGTGGCTCCATTAATGGGAACTTTTACAACAGGCAGTGCTCATTGTAAAATGAGGACAGGGGAGGCAGAGGCCACCTCTGTGAAGAACATACTTTTTTCTTTGTGAGTTAGATGCCAATAAAAAGTTCACAGAAATAGGAACTTTATTTTTCTTTAACACCTTGAATGTTGGGGTAAAAAGATGGTAACTTGTGCCCAGCCAGTATTGCTTAGCAGCTGAGCACTGACCCATGAACCAGGAGGTCACACACAGTTCGATTCCCAGTCGGAGCACATGCCCAGGCGCAGGCTTGATCCCAGGTGGGGAGGCATGCGGGGGGGACCAATGATTCTCTCTCATTATTGATGTTTCTCGCTCTCCCTTCCATGCTCTGAAATCACGAACAGGATCACCATGGTGGGGTGCCTGCTGGTCCCCCCAAATCTGTGTGTCACCAATACCTTCCAGAAAATACCTTCCAGAAAGGCCACACCAGGATGGTTGCTGTTTGTCACATGAACTGTGAACAACCCAGGAGTCTAGCAGCATTTGAAGGAAAACTTCAGCAAATCAGCAACAGAAATTCTTGCGCTGTCCCATCACAATTGAAAGTCATGCCACAAAACTATTAGGTAAGGATATTCCTGTTTACTGGGTTGTGAAAACATGCAGGTTATGGTACATTACAGAACTATTAGGAGATGGGTTTTTAAAAAATGTATCTGATCCACAGATATGTTTTCCGTTACCCAGGCAGGATTTTTAGAATGTTTGAATCACTTGAGGTAAACAACAGCAAAAACTAGAATTCCAGGCTTCTCTGACACCCCGGGAACCCTCAGCTGGAGACAGGAGGTGGCTGCCCCTGGGACAAGCTGTGCAGTTGTGTTATGTTCCCCATCTGGCCCCTTGAAGACATTTAAATTTGTGACCTCTGAATATATGTGCAGTAAAAACAGCCAGAACAGTCCAGAAGGTCCTCAAAAAGTTAAAAACGGAGTTATCATGAGACCCAGCAATTCCACTCCTGGGGATAAATCAAGAGAACTAGAAACAGCCCAGCCATGCGTGGCTCAGAGGTGGAGCATCGACCTAGGATCCAGGCGATCGGGGTTCCATTCCCCGGTCAGGGCACAGGCCCGGGTTGTGGGCTCCATCCCCAGTCGGGGGCGTGCAGGAGGCAGCCGATCAATGACTCTCTCATCATTGGTATTTCTCTCTCTCTCCCTCTCCCTTCCTCTCTCTGAAATCAATAAAAGG